ATCTTGGACTGTTAACACATGGGGTTGAAGTAGGAGGTGGTAGTGCTACTGCTGCTGTTGTCATATTTGGCGTAATAATGAGTGTAGATGAAGAAGTTTCTCCGTGCTCTCTTCTTTCTTTGGCAAGTTGCCTTCTCCGCTTAGTTCTGCTATTGAACTTATGTGCGGTTTTTTCAATCTCAAGATCAAAAATAAGTTGGTCCACAGGTACACTCTCTCACATAAACAAAATCTGCACACTAAACCAAACAAATCAAATAGCACAAGAAAAATAAACAGAGGTAAGAGATAACAATACAAAGATCTTAAAATCAATAAACTATTGTAATGCTTACAATATCAAACAATAATCCTCGACAACGACGCCATTTTGTTAGAATGTAATATAGGGGGGTTTTGTTATCATCTCCACAAGGATTGTTCTGATATGGGATTTTTGTTGTTCAATAGTTTAGCGTTTCAAGAAAAGGGTTTTTAAAGTTTGTTTCATAAATTGTCACGATTTAGTAGCAAAACTTTAAATTATAGAGTTATTTGATTAATAAAGTATATCAAAAGTAGTTTTCTTCTACCCTAAGTAATCCATATTCTCTTAATCTTGCATGTGAGGTCGGATCCGAATAATATCATCATGTATTCTCTTAATAGTATTTCATCGCTACACGTCTATGTCTAGAGTGGTACCATGAGAAATACCGTATTCATCGCTACACGATTTCTCCATATAACAACCAATATAGTAAGCTTTAAGTTCAACATAGAGCAAATATCAACCATAGACCGATCTCTTCAATCTATAAATTGATAGATGAATATTTTAGGTCAAGTTCCATAAAATCTATGTCTAGAGTTTTACAAAACAATAATAGATCATTAAGAACAAAAATATTCATCATATATTAATCATCACTTGTTCACATACAAGGTCAATCAAAAGAAATACATAAAGCTAAGGTAGACTACCTCTACCTTTGATACAAAAGAAATTAGCTACCCATAACCATGGTAGCTCGATTTACAAGTAATGAGAGAAGGTGAATGAGCATCCACGTCAAAGAATCGATCTTGAATTCGAATATAGCTTCTATTTTCAAAATATCACTCTTTGGTGAAGAAATGCAGAAAAATGAGTTTCTATGTAGAAAATGGGGTTATGATCCCAAAAAGTGTGAAAAGTACATATATAGTACTTCCAAAATATGTCAAGTTCGCCCAACGAACACCTTCTTCGTACAGTGAAGACCACTTTATGGCACCTGAAGTGCCTCTGAATAGTTAAACCTCCCCTGAGGAAATATATAATTTCGCAGTGCAAACACTTCTTCGCCCAACAAGCTTCTTCGCTACAAGTTTGCACAACAAACTTAGGGTTCTTTTCTTACTGCCTCTAATCTGGGATGGTTTGATAGGGCTTCACTAGGAGCTCACACAGTGAACATTCGTTGGCACCTCGTTGTTGTTCGCACAACGGACATGCTGGATTTTCTTCTTTTCTTTAGCTTCCTTGTCAATTCACTTGTGTCTTGATCTTTGATAGTTTATGCCTAAATCTTGCATAAAAACACACATAGCAAAGAAACCAAAGGTATTTTCAACATAATTGAAGAATAACATTGAAACATGGAATAAATCCATTGAAACATAACAAATGAGTTAAAAAATTCCAATAAATATGGATCAAAATAAGACATGTTTGACATTCAACATATAACACCAAGTTTCGATTCGTGAGCTCAACCCGGTGTTAACAGCTCTCCCAGGTTTAAGATCAACTTATGTAAAATCTTAGTTTGAATCTTGAAGATTAATCTCTCCATGTTTCTTTTTGACGATATGTATAGTTCATTATCTGCAGTCAGACGATCTCACTGAAGATGAGTTTTAGGCGAAGCAAATTCACAACCGTACAACAAAGTGCATTCTAATGTCAAGGAATCTCTATAAAATAAGAGGAGCCTATCCCATCTTAAGGTGCTTGGGTGAATATGAAATCACCCTGGTCCTAACTGAAGTTCATCAAGGGGCTTGCGATAGCCATATTGGCAGAGATGCCTTGGCCCACATGCTATTGAGAGAATGTTACTACCGACTTTCACTAATGAGGGACATTATGTTTTTGTCAAAATATTGCGACAAATGCTAGAGCATGTTATTCTACACCATACACCAACCTAACTCCTCTTTTTTGTGACAATGCCATTTTATCATTGGGGTGTGGACATTCTTGGACCTTTTCCTATAGCTTCCAACAAGATAAAGTTCATGATCATGGGATTAGAATTCTTCACGGAATGGATAGACGTTGAATCCTTATCAAAGATTATGATATAAAGGGTTCGCCGCTTTTATTGGTAGAGGATTATGTGCGGGTTTGGTTCACAAGGAATATCGTTTCAAATAATGAAGCTCAACTTGAAAGTACTATCATGGTCAATTTTTGCAATGACTTTGGAGTACACACCAAGTTCATTTCGGTTGTTCATCCATAGGTATTACTAAAAGGGATAAAGAAGAAGTTGGATGATGCCAAGGTATTATGGGTCAAGTAGCTGCATAAAGTGCTATGGTCATATCACACCACTCCTCATTCAACAACCAAGGATACTCCCTTCACCCTAGTGTATGGAGTAGGCACCATATTTCTATTCAAAATTAAAACGCCATCATGGCAACACTCTTAATGCAATGAGGAAGATAATGAGGCTATATTAAGATGTGTCATTGATCTAATTGACAAGATAAGAGACGTCGTCCATATTTGATAGTTCACTGCTAAACAAAGGTCAACCAGAAGATATAAATCTAAGGTGGTTCGAAGAGAAATGCAATAGTGCAATTTAGTGCTGCGACAAGTTGTTGTGCTTTCCCAACAGGGAAAGATTCAACCTAACTAGGAGGGGCGGTATCACATATATTAGAAGCTACCTTACGAAGCCTACAAGCTCAAAGAGTTAGATCGACAACTCATTCTTACAACTTAGAATTCAATCATTTTGAGATATTTTTATAATTAACTTGTTAGAAGGAGAGTCATTGATTTATGAAATCTCTTGTCAAAAGACTATGATATTCACAATAAGTTATTATGGTTTGACTATCAAATTAAATTGTTGGACTTCTAGAGAAAGATCTTTGCCACCTTACGAGGTAATTAAATTGTTGGACTTCCACGAAAATATTCTTGGCACCCTACGGATAGTTAAATTGTTGTACTTCCACAATAAGATCTTTGCCGCTCTACGGGGTAATTAAACAGCTGGACTTCCGAAAGAAGATCCTTGTCGCCCTAAGGGTAATTGAATTGTTGGACTTTATAAGAATATTTTTGCTTCCCTATAAGCTAGATAATTAAATAATTGGACTTTCATATGAAGATCCTTGTCGTCCTACGAGGTAATTAAATTGTTGGACTTCCACATGAAGATTCTTACTACCGTACGAGGTATTTAAACTGTTGGACATCCATAGGAAGATCGTTGATGCCCTGCAGGGTAATCAAATTGATTAACTTCCACACGAATATCCTTGGCACCCTACGAGGTAATTATATCGATATAATTTTTCCATACGAAGATCCTTGCCTCTCTACGTCGTAATTAAATTGTTATACTTCCACCATAAGATCCTTGTCACCTTATAGGTAACTGCACTACAAAGATATTTTTCGTCCTCGAGATGGGACTCAACTAAGTCTCGCCTAAGGGATTTGACCAAGTCTTATCAGGAAGACTTGACTAAGTCTAGTGTGAGAGACTTAACTAAGTGTCACGTGAGACACTTAACTAAGTCTCGTCAGAAATACTCGACTAAGTCTTGTTTGAGGGACTTAACTATGTCACTTCAAGAAGACTGGACTAAGTCTTGCCAGAAGGACTTAATTAAGTCTCGAGAGAAAGACTCAAGTAAGTCATCCAAATCTTCTGTGTCTCCGTCCATAGGCAAGATCGTGTGGATAACATATATTTTGTCAACAATGGCACCAAGGGAGTCGTGGGAGTTAACTGCACTCAATGAATTTCAGGGAATTAATTATCCATTCACATAGTGGTTGTTATATTCTAGGAAGTCTTGGGTCCAAGCTCAGTATGACCATAAATACCTCAATATCGCGATAAAGAGAGGGAGAATCTAACTCTAATACAGAGATACATGCAACCAGAGCTTTTCACCCCTACGTGATCTAGCTCTCAACTTCACAACAATCTTTAAAGTTTCTGGCAATCCTTAATCACTAGCAGTTGTCACATATTTGTAATCATAGCAAGTACATGATGCATGAAAAAAGTAAAAACATTTTTATGATCTCTACTATAGCTACACAACATATGTTTCGTCAAAATATATGTTTTCTTGTTGATCGTACCCTTTTAGAAAAACCTTACTTTATTTCTCAAAACAATACTATTTTCATCAAATTTATTGCAAAATAACCATTTGATTCAAATCACTAGATTAGTCATTGGTTTAGGAACAAATTCTCAGACATTGTTTCTATCAAATTAATTTAACTATTTTTGCATATAAATATTAATCTTTACAAATCCATAATTTTATAAATAAATAATTATTATAGTAAACTATATTTCATAAAGCTTTCACAAGAAATTGGTCTTAATTAAATGATCAATTTTCCAAAAAAAAAAATGTTGTTTTTTCCTTGAAATAAAAAGAGCATTCTGTATTAGTGTATTAGTAGAGTACTTTTTTATTAATATCCAACCAGGATCTTCCTATCCCATAAAATACCATAAAACCCCTATCCTTAACCCATATGATCCCACCATCTATCAAAATAATAATATCACAACATTATCCATTTGAAAAACAAATAAGTGGTTCTACTTCACTTCAATCTCTAGGAACAAGATCTCCACAACCACTTTGCAAATCATCAAACACAATTGAAACTAAATACATTACAAACATATCAAAGTGGACTCAAATTTTCATAGGAAAATAAAAATTATACACCTTGAAAAAGTGTTCATTAATTAATAACAATGGCCTTAATCTCTTCTTCTTCTCTCACTATAACCTCTTCATCTAACCTTTTTGATTGCAAAGCTTCTTCTCCACAATGTATGAGACTAACCCTTCCATCATCACTCCCTTTGTTGTCTCAGAATCATGCAGTGAAGACAAATTATCATTGTAAGTTATTCATTTTCAAAAGTGTTGGTATTGTGAATTTGCTACTATAGCAAATTGAAGTAACTTTCATCAATGTTTTTTAGATCGAAAGATTGGTCGTGATGTTATGGTTATGGCCACCGGAGATACACCAGCAGATGTTGACTCAACTGAGTTACCTGAGTTTGTTAAGTCTCTTCAAGAAACTGTAAGACTCTTCAATGTTTATGACATGATATACAAGTCTTTTTTCAATGTTACTTTAAATTATTATTATTATATGATTTTGTTTGTTGTATATATATAGTGGGACAAGGTTGATGATAAATATGCAGTGAGTACATTGATTGTAGCTAGTGTGATTGCACTATGGAGCTCAACTGGTTTGATTTCAGTAAGTTATTCAAATTATTACTACTGTTGCTGTATTAGTGTCGGTGTCGTATTCAGGATGCCTGTGATTCATAGCGTTTACATGATAAATGTCCTAAAGAAATTATTTTCACCTGCAACAGGCAATTGATAAGCTTCCCTTGATTCCTGGAGTGCTTGAATTAGTAGGCATTGGCTATTCCGGGGTAAGTCAAACTATTGCGTCATAGTCTGAGCAGATTAGTCGTAGTTTAACCCTAACAGAATAAAAATATGTCTTATTTAACTACTGTTTAACTAAGTTTAACTGAGACAAACATTTTATAAGGTCTTATTGAGCCACGGTTTAACCGTGACAAATATTAGACACTCTGTCGTAGCATGTAAGAAAACCTAAAATGCATCTTCTTCTGTTTTTCATTGCAGTGGTTTGCATACAAGAACCTAGTTTTCAAACCAGAAAGGTATACATTATTTGTATTTTTATAACTTATAGTACAAGTTTCCTATGAATAATAATAGTACTTGTGTCTCTAAACATGTTGAATGGAATAACAGGGAAGAGCTTGTACAGAAAGTAAAGGAAACAGTTAATGAAATACTTGGGAGCAAATAAAAGAGTTGGGAAATGATAAAATGCTGTTGACATGATAGAGTTCTATCTTGCAGGATTCTGTTGAAGATTTCATAATTATTCATTTTGTAGCCATAAGCTTTTAGACTCATGTAATTTAATATTTTCTGGAAAAAATATTGTATCTTATAAATATGAATCTACATTCCAATTTAAAACATTGTTGTCCGAAAGTGAATTTATGCACATTTGCCTCAAAAACATAATGCTATAGCCTCAAAAGCATGATGCTATAGTATTTTCAAAGCGAGCTCTAAATGTTGCAAGTGAGTACTTCATTCCATGATATAAACTAAATACCAACTTGCATAAGAATGACTTAAAAATAACATTCATAATATACTGAAAATTAGTCAAGATATTCGTTAACCTAGAAGGCATCGTTTTGTACTCATAGTGACCCTCGTGAGTGCGAAAATTTGTCTTATGGATATCTTTCTCATTCATAAAAATATGGTGATATTCATATTTAAGGTCAAGTTTGAGGTTGTTTATGATTGCAAGACATATGGCATACTCGATCTTAGGTATTTTATATTTGATCAAACCTTCATCGATTACTCCATCTCCCAAGGTCATTAGGAGAGGAATGTAATATGACTAAGCGGGTTATGAGGCGATGAAATTGTTCTTAACTATTTTTGTAAAATATTTGGGATATAATAAAACTTGTTATAGGTCTAAACAGGGATTAACAACATGAAAAGGAAAATGATTCCAAGGGATGGCTTAATCGTTTATATCATAATATTTCTTAACTATTATTTTAGTTAGTTGTTTTATAATCATTAAACAATCAACTCAATCACGCACTACAAATCCCCCCATTTAACAATTATGTCATTTATCAACAACTAATAACAAATATAATTTTTGTCTTGATCTATTAATCACAATCTATGTAGATTGACAATATTCACTCACCATTGGCACTACAAAAAAACTCATTAGACACATGATTTTCACATTACAAACAGTGTGAACAAACACGACGTAGGAGCGCATGTGGCAACTAGTTTTCACGTGAAAAACACGCTACAACTTTACCACGTGAAAATTATGTCACTAATATGTACATAGAGATAGGTGCAGAAACCACCACCACCACCACGTTCCTTCAAGTTTCTGTTGTTGTTACTTTTTCAAAACACTACAACTATGGGCCAATTTGAAATGTTTTTGTTGTTGTTGTTCGATCTGAAACCACCATCACCATTTGAACCTATTGATTTAGGTTCTCGATTTGAAACGTTTTTGTTGTTTTTGTTTGATTTGAAACTGTTGATTTGGGTTGCTGATTTAAAATGTTTTTGTTGAAATTATATGTTGGTTTGACTTTGTATGAATGCTTTGAATTATAATTTTATTAAGCTGCTTATTTTTCTTAATGCTTTTTATTTGAGATACTCTGTTAATTTGATATTGGACACATAAGAATTACAGACCCTTAATCTATGTGTTGGACCTAGGGCAACTGTTATACTTAAGCTGGTTGAATAGGAATAAGAGGCTTTAAGTAGTGATTAATGAGTTATTTCGTGAGGGATCAGTTATAACGGTTTTGTTAATTCTCTGTGAGAGTATAAGAATAAAACCATTCATATAAGGCATCATACATCAACAAGAAAGAATAAGGGAATTCAATACACAACCTGACCGTCTTAGTTTTTTCTTTTAAAACTCTTATTTTGTTTTTCACTCTGAAACTTGAAAAAAAAAACCTTCTTATTTACTGTTTTAATTTACATTGCGCAATTTTTGTATTGTTCGAACACAGTTCATGTAGATTTGATCTTTTATTACTGTAACACTATCGATATACTTGCCGAGAAGTCATTAGAAGCCAATCATGATAAAACCTGAAAGTCGGTCTAAATTTGGACAATCGACCTTAATCTTTAAACTTAAGTATCAAAGTTTTATTGACTATTTTTAGCCTTTTTCTCTGCAAGTTTCTTTATTTGTTAAATACTCATTTGCTTTTAAATGTATTATATTCTTTTGAATGGTAAAATTAATGAAATGATTATGCATCTTTTTAAACTATTCCTTTCGTGTTTACTCTTATATTGCTTCTTTCCTTTTTCGCACAAAAATTAAAATCAATATTTTTCACCTCACATTTTCTTTATCAAAGATTAGATATACCTATAATTACAAGATTGAAATTATTATTTACAATTTTGTCATTGGTCATTGCTTTATGTTCTGATCGATAGAATTACAACCTTACCATTAATTTAAAAATGTAATCTTATTTGATAGTGAAGAACTACAATAACTATTAAGGAGTTTTTCTATATACTCTAGCATAAAATATCCTCTTTTCTTTTAATAGAATGATTCTAAATACTATTAGTCCATGATATTAGTTTTCTAATTAAATTATCATAATCAAAATATCAAAATGATCTTATCTCAAATAATTGTGATGATCAAACCAATAAAGAAAGTCCTTTACTTTATTCAAGTTTATAAATAAATATAACAATAATAATAATAATAAGGATATGATTTCCTTTTAAAAATTTTGTGAAGTAATAAAATTTCATCAAGGCCTTTTAATATAAATCATAAATGATATAATAAAGATCTTTCATTAATATAGTATAAAGTCTGATTTTTTACAAATTTTGAATCAATGATTTTAATTTTTAATTTCTAAATACAATTTTTTTAAGAATTAAAATTATTTTAAAATGATTTGTTATCAATTAAAAGAGTAATTAGCTTTTACTAACTTACATATTCATTATACAATATTTTAACATAAAATTACATACTTTTTTAAAATAAACACCTCTTAAAAATAATTTCTTTTGGTAAGAAATAATCAAAATAAAATTTTCGTTTTAACAGAATTTTATTATAAAAATTAACAATATGAATACATAGTTTGAAGATGGAACAATAAATATCTTATTAAATAATACAATAATAGTTTGTAACGTTGTATTTTAATAACTGTACAAAATAATGTTCTAACTTAACAACTACTAAAAAAGACTTAGATTAATTATGAGAAATTATTTAAGGAAAATAAATCAAAATTTATATTAAATTTAATAGTTTGTCTACCGTTGTATTTTAGTAAGTGCACAAAAATTGTTTTTTTTTTTTACAATTTTTAAAATTATTTTATGATGAATTTCTTTATAACAATAGAAATTATTAAGGAGTTTTTTTTAAAAAAGTTTGATGTATATATATATATATATTAAAGAGTTTATAATTTTAATTAAAAAAAATGAAATTATTTTTTAAGGAAAATATTAAATCCAAAATTTTAATTGATTTTTTTTTTCTTCTAAAAACTATGTTTTAAAATCCGAATGTAATTTTAAATTGTTGGCATGGAGAATCAGAATTTGCTATAAAATTTAAATGAAAGAAATTTTAGAATTATATTATTTTAAGAGAAAATGAATGATACACTAATTGTAATACTTTTATATTAATTGATAGTGTAATATCGTTAAATTTTTATTTTTATTATAAAATGTGAGTAATCAATGCGAGCAATTAATATTTTTTACTTTGATTAACAAAAAGAGTATAGTAAAATTTTCATTTAATTTGAGGGGTGAGAGATAAAGCATTTGACGAAGTGATATGGGCTAAAAGGCCCAAAAAGACCTGAGAATCAATAGAAATTAGGGTTTCGCCGTTTCTGTCTCCATTTCATTTTATTTCTTAGTTCTCTTTATCTTTGATCAATCTCTTCATCTCTCCAACCCTTTCTTTTTCATTTTTTCCTTACATATTTTATTTTCTTTGATGATGAATTTATATACCATCAAACTTTGAAAGCTTGTTTACGCCAACGATTCTTCCGTTTTTTTTACTTATTTGATAACGATTTTAGGGTTTCAATTTCTTAGAATGCAACTACACTTTAGAGTCGCCGATTCGCTTATTTGATGGTGATTTCAGTGTTGATTTTGGAACTGAGATATGTTTTTGATTTTCTTCAGGCTTATACTTTGCTTTCAGGTTTGTTCTTCATGTTTTTTCAATGTTATGATGAAATTAGATTTGTTCTTTTTCTTTTTGATTTGAGGTCAAAAGCCAATTTAATGGCTTGCATTAAATGTTGCTGATAGAAGACTAGTGTCAGTTTATTTCTTGAAACCATTCATACTGTTCAGATAATCAGTTTGTTTTCAAAAACCGGATCGGTTCTGAAAAACCTCAAAATGGTTGGTTCTTAATTCCAGTTTCAGATCTTAAAACTGGTTTCTAACCGGTTTAGTTTTTAAAGACTTATTTGAATTGGTTCCTCAAACCATTTTTTAAACAACCAGTTGTGTTTGTAACTGTTATCCAATCTGAATCCATACCAGTTTAGTTTTCAAAAATCCAGTTATCCATTCTGAAACCAGTTTGGTTTTTTAAAACAGTTATCTGAAACCAGTTCGGTTTAATAAAAACAGTTATCCGTTCTGTAAAACCAGTTCGGTTTAATAAAAACAGTTATCCGTTCTGTAAAACCAGTTCGGTTTTTTCCAAGCAGTTATCCATTTGAAACAAGTTTGGTTTTTTTAAAGCAGTTATCCGTTTGGAAACCAGTTCGGTTTTTTAAAGCAGTTATCCGTTTGGAAACCAGTTCGGGTTTTTAAAAGCAGTTATCCATTTGAAACCAGTTCGGATTTTACAAAGCAGTTATCCGTTTGAAACCAGTTCGGATTTTACAAAGCAGTTATCCGTTTGAAACCAGTTCGGATTTTACAAAGCAGTTATCCGTTTGAAACCAGTTCGGATTTTACAAAGCAGTTATCCATTTGAAACCAGTTCGGTTTTTACAAAGCAGTTATCCATTTGGAACCAGTTCGGTTTTCTCAAAGCAGTTATCCATTTGAAACCAGTTCGGTTTTTATAAAGCAGTTATCCATTCTGAAACCAGTTTGGTTTTTTCAAAACGGTTATCCATTCGAAACCAGTTCGGTTTTCTCAAAACGGTTATCCATTCTGAAACCAGTTAT